TTTTGAATTCCTTATCAGGGAGTTCCAATGCTGCTTCTTCTCCAGGATGTGTTTTGGGTCTGTATCCTGGTCCCTTGTTTCTCCTGCTTTATCTTGCTTCTTTGTATGGACTGTGATGCTCTGTTGTCTCCAAGGCATTGTAACGTTTTTGTGTTTATATTTAATTGGTGATTGTATGTTGGAGTGACCTGTCCACGATTTACATTTCTTTGTTTGGTTTGTATGTTATCTATGCAAGCAGGGTACTGTGCTGTGCTCCTCTATTCACTAGTTGGAGCACTTATACATTCACCACCTGTCTCCTTTTCTGTCGTCAGCCTCTCATATGTCCCTGCCGACCTTGGCAAATAGAGCCTATTCTTAGGTCCGTGGAATCCAAATGAGAATGCTATCATTTTAAAATCCAAAATGGTTGTCACTTGTAAAGATTCAAAATGGCTGCAACCCTGGTCACTTTAAATATCTAAAATGGTCACCACTTGTAAACATTCAAAATGGCTGCACCCTCAGTCACTTTAAAAATCCAAAATGGCTGCCACATGTAAACAATCAAAATGGCTGTGCCCTCCAGACAACAGAAAGTCAACAGCTCAGGTTGTCTCCCTCCTTGCTGTTTCCCTTCCTAGCTATAGGCCACCAGCGCAGCCCATGAGGGCTGATCTTTAGGTCAATTCTCAGGTCCCAACACCACTTGTAAATATTCAGGCTATGCAGAATTGCTGATAGTCCGCAGCTCTGACCGTCTCAGTACTCACTGTTTTCGTTCAGATTTTTCCACTCGTTGGTGCCTAATCCACTTCTGTATCATTCCTCTTAATGCTCAGGAGTCCAAGATTATCTTCTGTATCTCTGTCAAATGATTTTCTTTTCTTTGTTGAAGAGGGTCTGTGTCACTTGTCTGCCTATTCCTCCATTTTACCAGAAGTCCAGTACTGCAGTTTTCTTGAGGCAGCTGTAGTCAAGGACTAAGGCCTCTGCCTTCAGCCACGCTCAAAGCATATTTGCATTCCTATCCCAGGCAACTCCATTCATGGCATTCTTATTAAGGATCTTAACAAAACCATTTTTTTTTTTTTTCCCTTTTGACTCAATATCTTTCCTGTCCCAGTCTTTTCCCATCTCCTTCCCCCTCACTTGACCTACAGGTCAGTAAGAAGCAGAAGTCTTTTGTTTGGTGCTTCTCAGCAGTAGGATGATTCCTCCTGTCTGTGTGGCATCTATCTTATCTTTGTCAGTGCTGCTCTATGTGGAAAAATCAAGCTGTGGGGAGCCCTTTTAATCTTTTGCCTGCAATGTTGCAATGAGGGAATAAAGCTTTAATTGTTATTGTCTGTTTGGCTCATTGTCTAATTGACCACTTTGACACCTGAATGCATGACAAGTTGGAGCTAGCAACCAGGTAACATATTTAGTTTGAACTCAATAACGTTTTATTTTTATTGCATTACCTTTGTTGTTAGCTGCCGTCAAGTTGTCTTTGACTCATGTTGACCTTATATGTAACACAATGAACCTTGCCTGGTTCTGCACTATCTTCGTGATCGTTTGTGCATTTGGCAAGATCATCTCCCAGCACTATATCCAACAAGATTCTGTTGTAATCCAGAGGGTTTCCAATGACTGGTTTTGCAAAGTAGATCACCAGGTATTTTTTCCTAGTCTGTCTTAGTCTGGAAGCCACTAAAACCTGTTCACTATGGGTGACTCTGCTGGTCTTTGAAATATCAGTGACCTAGTTTCCAGCATCACAGCAACACATGTGCAAGCCACCACAGTATGACAAACTGACTGATAGGTGGTGGGTATTATCTTTACCCTTACCTAATTTGGTGACACAGCGATTAATTCTTGGGCTGCTAACCAAAAGCTCAGCCGTTCAAACCTACTAGCTGCTCTATGGGAGATAGTTGTGGCAGTCTGCTTCTGTAAAGATTTACAGTCTTGGAAAACTTACAGGGAAATTCTACTCTATCCTATAGGGTCTCTATGAGTCAGAATTAGACTCGATGGCAATGGGTTTGGTTTTCTTGGTTTTTAATACTCTCTATTATGGCAAAAGGTACAGGATTTCCCCTTATTAAATAAACTTTCATCCTGAAGTAAATTTATATAAGCGAAAAAAATGAGTGACTTATTTGGAGACAGTAAATAAAAACTGGCTACACTAGAATATTAGGTGGTATGTGGATATAATGAAACTAGAGTGACTGGGGGAGCTCTGGTAGCGTAGTGGCTAAGGCACTTGACTGCTAACCAGAAGGCTGGCGGTTCAAACCCACCAGCCACTCCTCAGAAGGAAGATTGGGCAATCCTACTTCCGTAGTGATACTGCCTCAGAAACCTAAGGAGGGGTCGCTGTGAGTCAGGTCTGACTCGATGGCACATAACAACAACAACAACAACAACAGAGTGACTGGAGTTAGGGTAAATCAGTGTAACTCAAAGCTTCTGGAGAACCATTTGGCCTTCAAAGGGGCTGATGACCAAGAGTCCATTTGCTTCCTGCTGATAAGTACGTGGCTGCCTGGCACTGGCAGGAGTACACTTACATCCCGTATTGCTTCATACAATGCTTTAAAAGTTGGCTGCTTATCATCATGGTAGACACCTCGGTTCCCATGCAGAACAGACACACCTTCACGTTCGGCCTCTTTGCAGTTGCTTCCATACATGCAGTGATCAGGACGGTAGTTCCAATGGCAGGGGAACACGTAGAGACACTCTGGTGGTGACAAAGAAAGATATATATCCATAGTGTCAGCTCACATCTTATGCCTGGTGATTAAACCAATGGTTCTAGACACTGTAGGCTGTACAAAATGCACATGAGTGTGATCATGAGTCAAAGAACCAATTTCAAGATATTTGTTAAACTTGTGATATCAGGAATTAAAGGCACAAGCATTAGTGATATTTTAAATTTCATCTAAAGAAGTAAGATAGTATAGCATTTTGGAAAAAATGGTACACTTGGGCATCAAGCAGCTTGGGTCCCAATCCCAACACTTGCACTCACAGTGAAACTTAGGTCTAATGTCTTAACCTCCTTGTGCTCCAATTTCCTCATGTATAAAATGGGAATCACAGGACTGCTCCTTTATTTGATGATTAAGTGGGGAAAAAAAAAAAAAAAGGCACGTAAAATGCGTGCCAGAGTGCCAAGCACACAGTTGTGCTGTATAATGTTAGCTATTATCACAATCAATTCTTTGCAGTTTTTGTGCAATGGACAGATATGGAAAATAGGAGTCAAGCTTGAAGCAAAGATTCCTCCTTCGATTACAAAGAAGGGAAAAAAATGAAAAAACATAACATTAAAGAGAAAAAAATGAAAGAATGAAACAAAAAAATCCCTATGCCAAGGCAACTATATTCTTGGTGTGTGTATATGTGCACATGCACCTATATGTTTATGTTTTATAAATCTCTAACCTAGTGGTTCATAACCAGGGGTTATTTTACCCTTGAGAACATGGCAGTTGTCACAACAGTGGTGGGGTGGTACTGGTATCTAGGTGTAGAAACCAAGGATACAGCTAAATATCTTATAATGCACAGGACAGCCCCCACAACAAAGGGTTATGTCAGTAGGATTAAAGTTGAGAAACTGCTCTAATTCTACTGAATTCAGAAAATTTCCCTTTGATGGCTGGCATCATAAAATTAACAAGTTCATGACCCCCTAATTTCCTGGTTCCTCAGCTTGACTTTTTTACGGGCTGGAATTAGAGGAGTTATGGATCAAAGGTCTCTGCAAATGGTATCACTGATCATGAGAAAGTCTCAGTGAGAGAGCACAGAAGGAGTGGGGCAAATCAATGACACTGCTGGAAGACTAACTTAAAGAAGGGCTTGTAGGTGGGTCGAAGGCATCCTCTTCTCATGCAGAAGACAATGCTTAGAAATTACTTGCAGAAAGCTTCAAGATGAAAAGCAAAGAATGATGAGATCATCACATTGCCCCTCTGGCAGACCATGTATATTTCCAAGGTTTGGTCTTTCAGAGGCTACAGTGACACGCAGGAACCTCTATCAAATTCCTAATGGTTCATAATGCACTACTAGATTTGCCTTTTCACAGAAGAACTTCATTCCACCATGATCTTTACCTTCACAAGTATATATGCTTCATTGTCCATAGGCAAGGCAGAGTAGGGTCATCCTGCAGCCACACTACTTAGAGTTGCATTTCAACTCTTCTATGTATTACCTGTGTGACCTCTCTGCTCTTTAGTTCTCCCTCATCTTTAAAAGGAGAAGTGTAATAAGCTACCTACTAGGGCAGAGGAGTCCCAGGGTGGCACAAATGGTCAAGTGCATGGCTACTAGCTGAAAGGTTGGAGGTTCAAGTTTATCCAGAGGCACCTTGGAAGAATGGCCTGGTGATCTACTTCCAAAAAAATCCTGTGGAGGTTAGTTCTACTCTCATACACACAGGGTCACCATGAGTTGGAATCAAATGGGTGGCAACTTTTTTTTTTTTTTTTAAAATAGGAAGGATATGAGAATTAAATGAGGGAAAACATCTAAAAGGGCTTTTGAGCAGTGCCTGGCACAGAATAAGTTCCCCACAACCCTCTTGCTTCCTTTTTTAACCCAATGGGTCACATATCACTCATTTAGGGCACCCACCTAGGCATCTGTACTTGCAATCTCTGCTTGCATATCTGAAAATGTTCCCTACTGAGTAAACTTTCTAGAGCCCATCTGTGTCTTTATAGATGCATTAAACATCCAAATAAACAAATACCTATCAAATGAATGCCTAATATGTACACTGTGGGCAAAGCAAGTAACAGGAAAATCCATTCCCTGCCTTCATGGAGTTTAAGGTGTGGTGATGAAAGGCTTTGCCTCTTCCCAAGTAGTTTAGGACTCCACGACAGCAGACAACCATTTCTTCTCTCTTTGTAGCCTCCTCAGAGGATTGAGCCCAGTAAGTTAAAGTAGAAACGGGCTTTGGTGGCATAGTGCCTAAGGCATTTGACTGCTAACCAGAAGGCTGCTCTTTCAAATCCACCAGCCACTCCTCAGAAGGAAGACTGGGCAATCTACTTCTGTAGAGATACTGCTCAGAAACCCAAGAGGGAGTAGCTATGAGTTGAGTCAATTAGACGACAGTGAGTTTGAGTTTGAGGTTCCAATGTGGCTTCCATCTGCTTTACAATGTTGCTAAGTTACTCAAATACATCAATTTAGAAGCAGTACTAATCCACAGGAGCTCTGGTGGCATAGTGTCTAAGGCATTTGACTACCAACCAGAAGGCCAGTGGTTCAAACCCATCAGCCACTCCTCAATATATTGATGGGTTTTGTTTTCTTATCTAATCTGCAACTCTTCATCTCTTGAGTGGTGCATTTAATCCATTAACATTCAGTGTAATTATTGATAAGTATGAATTTGTTGCTGTCATTTTGTTATGTGTTTTTTCATGGTGTCCCTGGTTTCTTTGTTCCATATTATTTTCTGTGCTGAGCTCATTATGTTTATTAGTCATGTTATCATTTCCTTTGTTGCTGTTGTTTTAGTATTTGCTAAATATTTGTGCCTGTCCTCTTTTCATTGTGATGTGAAGGTTTGTCATTTTTCTTTGAGGTTACCCTGTGATTTATAATTTTCTCCCTGAGTTTAGAAAAGTCCATTCTATCTTGCAACTCTCTTGACTTTCTCACCATTTAGAAGTTCTGTAACTACATTATTTTTTCCTTCTTTTTGGTTTGTAGTTCCCATCATTTGCCAATTGATGTCTCTGGTTCCCTGTTTACAATCTTGTAAGCTTATTTTACTTTGGATACTTCCATAACTGGGTTGGTTTCTGGGTTATGTCATCATGTGTATTAATGGTCAGTTATTGTCTGCTATTATTGGTTCTCTGTTCAAAGGTCTCCCTTTAGTATTTCTTGTAAGGTTGGTCTGGTTTTAACAAAGTCCCTTAGTTTCTGCTTATCTGGAAATCTCCTAATTTCACCATCATATTTGAGGGACATTTTTGCTTGGTTGAAAATTTTTCTCTTTCACGGTTTCATATATACCATCCCATTGCCTTCTCGCTTGCATGGTTTCTGCTGAGAAATTAGAGCTTATTCTTATTGGTTGCCCTTTTTAGGTAACTTTTCATTTTTCCCATACTACTTTCAGGATTTTCTCTCTGTGGTTTTGGTGAGTTTGATGATGATATATTTTAGTGATTTTCTTTTGGGGTCTATACTGTTTGGGGCTCATTGAACTTCCTGAATGGATATATTCTCATCTTTTATCATATCAGGAAAGTTCTCTTCCAACAAATCTTGAACAATATTCTCAGTGGTTTTATTTTTCTCTTCCTGTTCTGGAATTCTGATTACACATAGGTTATTCCTTTTGATGGTATCGCACATGAACCTTAGGCTTTCTTCATTTTGTTTTGCTCTTTTGTCTGATTGATCCCTTTCCAAAAAAGCATTGAGGTATTTGTTTTCAATCTCATTAATTCTGTCTTTCATTGATTGGATTCTCTCCTTTGCCAAGTCAATGTGTTATCTATTTCTGAAAATTTAGTATTAATCTTCTGGATTTCTATCTGTAGATTTTGTATCATTACTAATTTTTCATTTATTTTGTCAATTTGTTCCTGTACTGTCTTTTGAAATCGTTCTGGGGTTTTGTCTGTGTTTTCCTTATTTTGTCAATATTTTCCTTGATCCGTCTCTCAGTCTGTTGAAGGTACCTAAATATAATTCTTTTGAACACATTATCATGGAGTTCTAATGCTGCTTCTTCCTCAGGGATGTGTTCTGGGTCTGTATCCTGCTCCCTTACTTCCACCATTTTATTTTGCTTTTTTGTGTGAACAGTGATGGTCTGTTGTCTCCAAGACATTATGATTTATTGTATTTATATTAATTGGTGATTTTATGTTGGAGTGATTCACCCAAGATTTTTTTTTTTTCTGGATGTATCTGAGTAAGCAGAGTATTGTGCTCCCCTATTCACTATTTGGCAGCACTTATGCACTCACCACCCGTCTCTTGGTGGGTGTGACAGAGAATGAGAGTAGCTGCACAGATCTCTGTTAACTATTTGTGGAGAGAAGTTAAAGGTCAGGCTCTTATTGGTGGTTGTGTATCACTGGCCAGTTGGTATAGAAGGAAGTGGTGGCTCTCACTCAGGAAGTGGACCTGCAGGAAGTGCAGGTGTGGTTGAGTTATGTGGGCATGGTGGCTGTGTCTCACTCAGTTAGATAAAAACAAGAATTCAAAAACCATCAAAAAAGTAAAAGCAAGAGGACAAAAAACACATACTGCACAAACACACAGGAACAATCACCAAAAAGAGAGAGAGAGAAAAAAAGAGGAAATAGAATAAATGAGAGAAAATATTTAAAGAGATACCTTAAAAAAACCAAAAGAAATATGAATAGAAAGGGAGGGGGACCTGTAATATATTTGGAGGGGGGGAACAAGAGAAAAGAGGTAGAGTAGGACAACAATAAGAAAAAATGGGAAAAATGCAAAAAGAAAAATAAGGAATGGGAGAAAAGAAAAAAAATGGGAACCAGGAAGAGGGAAGAGAGAGAGAGCTGAAAACTGGAACCTGGGAAGGGAAGAAGAAACAATAACAATAAAAAGGATGAAAAACAGAAAAAATAATGCAAAACAAACTATAAAAAGAAAGGAAAAAAAATTTAGGCAGGGCAGTGCTGGGCACCCAGGCTCTGTTGGAGCACACAGACTGGGATGGAA